ACTCTTACAACACGCATGGCTTACGGAGGAAGAATTCTGTTCCACTATCCAATTGAGATAACAGGAAATAAACAATAACAAAAATTATTATCACACCGGCCGATTCCCACCAAGGCAGGGTGGCCCGAAAAAGAAAAACTTTCACCATCATTCACTCCATCACTGTCTTGCCAGAAGGGTGCTTTACACTACAGTTTTTAAACTGCAACATTAACACCCCTCCTTCAGAGTGCAGGCACTGTACTTCCCATCTCCAGGACTCAAGTCCGGCCTGCCGGTTTCCCTGAATCCCTTCATAAATGTTACTTTGCTCACACTCCAACAGCACGTCAAGTATTAAAAACCATTTGTCTCCATTCACTCCTATCAAACACGCTCACGCATGCCTGCTGGAAGTCCAAGCCCCTCGCACACAAAACCTCCTTTACCCCCTCCCTCCAACCCTTCCTAGGCCGACCCCTACCCCGCCTTCCTTCCACTACTACTGATACACTCTTGAAGTCATTCTGTTTCGCTCCATTCTCTCTACATGTCCGAACCACCTCAACAACCCTTCCTCAGCCCTCTGGACAACAGTTTTGGTAATCCCGCACCTCCTCCTAACTTCCAAACTACGAATTCTCTGCATTATATTCACACCACACATTGCCCTCAGACATGACATCTCCACTGCCTCCAGCCTTCTCCTCGCTGCAACATTCATCACCCACGCTTCACACCCATATAAGAGCGTTGGTAAAACTATACTCTCATACATTCCCCTCTTTGCCTCCAAGGACAAAGTTCTTTGTCTCCACAGACTCCTAAGTGCACCACTCACTCTTTTTCCCTCATCAATTCTATGATTCACCTCATCTTTCATAGACCCATCTGCTGACACGTCCACTCCCAAATATCTGAATACGTTCACCTCCTCCATACTCTCCCCTCCAATCTGATATTCAATCTTTCATCACCTAATCTTTTATCCTCATAACCTTACTCTTTCCTGTATTCACCTTTAATTTTCTTCTTTTGCACACCCTACCAAATTCATCCACCTATCTCTGCAACTTCTCTTCAGAATCTCCCAAGAGCACAGTGTCATCAGCAAAGAGCAACTGTGACAACTCCCACTTTGTGTGTGATTCTTTATCTTTTAACTACACGCCTCTTGCCAAGACCCTCGCATTTACTTCTCTTACAACCCCATCTATAAATATATTTAAACAACCACGGTGACATCACACATCCTTGTCTAAGGCCTACTTTTACTGGGAAATAATTTCCCTCTTTCCTACATACTCTAACTTGAGCCTCACTATCCTCGTAAAAACTCTTCACTGCTTTCAGTAACCTACCTCCTACACCATACACCTGCAACATCTGCCACATTGCCCCCCTATCCACCCTGCCATACGCCTTTTCCAAATCCATAAATGCCACAAAGACCTCTTTAGCCTTATCTAAATACTGTTCACTTATATGTTTTCACTGTAAACACCTGGTCCACACACCCCCTACCTTTCCTAAAGCCTCCTTGTTCATCTGCTATCCTATTCTCCGTCTTACTCTTAATTTTTTCAATTATAACTCTACCATACACTTTACCAGGTACACTCAACAGACTTATCCCCCTATAATTTTTGCACTCTCTTTTATCCCCTTTGCCTTTATACAAAGGAACTATGCATGCTCTCTGCCAATCCCTAGGTACCTTACCCTCTTCCATACATTTATTAAATAATTGCACCAACCACTCCAAAACTATATCCCCACCTGCTTTAACATTTCTATCTTTATCCCATCAATTCCGGCTGCCTTACCCCCTTTCATTTTACCTACTGCCTCACGAACTTCCCCCACACTCACAACTGGCTCTTCCTCACTCCTACAAGATGTTATTCCTCCTTGCCCTATACACGAAATCACAGCTTCCCTATCTTCATCAACATTTAACAATTCCTCAAAATATTCCTTCCATCTTCCCAATACCTCTAACTCTCCATTTAATAACTCTCCTCTCCTATTTTTTAACTGACAAATCCATTTGTTCTCTAGGCTTTCTTAACTTGTTAATCTCACTCCAAAACTTTTTCTTATTTTCAACAAAATTTGTTGATAACATCTCACCCACTCTCTCATTTGCTCTCTTTTTACATTGCTTCACCACTCTCTTAACTTCTCTCTTTTTCTCCATATACTCTTCCCTCCTTGCATCACTTCTACTTTGTAAAAACTTCTCATATGCTAACTTTTTCTCCCTTACTACTCTCTTTACATCATCATTCCACCAATCGCTCCTCTTCCCTCCTGCACCCACTTTCCTGTAACCACAAACTTCTGCTGAACACTCTAACACTACATTTTTAAACCTACCCCATACCTCTTCGACCCCATTGCCTATGCTCTCATTAGCCCATCTATCCTCCAATAGCTGTTTATATCTTACCCTAACTGCCTCCTCTTTTAGTTTATAAACCTTCACCTCTCTCTTCCCTGATGCTTCTATTCTCCTTGTATCCCATCTACCTTTTACTCTCAGTGTAGCTACAACTAGAAAGTGATCTGATATATCTGTGGCCCCTCTATAAACATGTACATCCTGAAGTCTACTCAACAGTCTTTTATCTACCAATACATAATCCAACAAACTACTGTCATTTCGCCCTACATCATATCGTGTATACTTATTTATCCTCTTTTTCTTAAAATATGTATACCTATAACTAAACCCCTTTCTATACAAAGTTCAATCAAAGGGCTCCCATTATCATTTACACCTGGCACCCCAAACTTACCTACCACACCCTCTCTAAAAGTTTCTCCTACTTTAGCATTCAAGTCCCCTACCACAATTACTCTCTCACTTGGTTCAAAGGCTCCTATACATTCACTTAACATCTCCCAAAATCTCTCTCTCTCCTCTGCATTCCTCTCTTCTCCAGGTGCATACACGCTTATTATGACCCACTTCTCGCATCCAACCTTTACTTTAATCCACATAATTCTTGAATTTACACATTCATATTCTCTTTTCTCCTTCCATAACTGATCATTTAACATTACTGCTACCCCTTCCTTTGCTCTAACTCTCTCAGATACTCCAGATTTAATCCCATTTATTTCCCCCCACTGAAACTCTCCTACCCCCTTCAGCTTTGTTTCGCTTAGGGCCAGGACATCCAACTTCTTTTCATTCATAACATCAGCAATCATCTGTTTCTTGTCATCCGCACTACATCCACGCACATTTAAGCAACCCAGTTTTATAAAGTTTTTCTTCTTCTCTTTTTTAGTAATTGTATACAGGAGAAGGGGTTACTAGCCCATTGCTCCCGGCATTTTAGTCGCCTCATACGACACGCATGGCTTACGGAGGAAAGATTCTTTTCCACTTCCCCATGGACAATAGAAGAAATAAAAAAGAACAAGAGCTATTTAGAAAAAGGAGAAAAACCTAGATGTATGTATATATATATATGCATGTGCGTGTCTGTGAAGTGTGACCAAAGTGTAAGTAGGAGTAGCAAGATATCCCTGTTATCTTAGCGTGTTTATGAGACAGAAAAAGAAACCAGCAATCCTACCATCATGCAAAACAGTTACAGGTTTTTGTTTCACAGTCATCTGGCAGGACGGTAGTACTTCCCTGGGTGGTTGCTGTCTACCAACCTACTACCTTATAACAAAAACTAGCAAGAAAATAGAAGAAAACCCAGAGGGGTGTGTATATATATGCTTGTACATGTATGTGTGGTGTGACCTAAGTATAAGAAGAAGTAGCAAGATGTACCCGAAATCTTGCATGTTTATGAGACAGAAAAAAGACACCAGCAATCCTTCCATCACGTAAAACAATTACAGGTTTCCGTTTTACACTCACTTGGAAGGACGGTAGTACCTCCCTGGGCGGTTGCTGTCTACCAACCTACTACCACAGGGCGGTAGTACCTTCCTGGGCGGTTGCTGTCTACCAACCTACTATCTACAACGTATTATATTATTAGCATGGGTTCGAGTCCTTGGCTAGTGCAGTGTTGTTACTGATCAATACCACTTGTTCGTGGGTACTATATATATAATATATATAATATATATATATATAAATATATAATATATATATATATATATATATATATATAATATAATAAATATATATATATATATATATTATATATATATATATATAGTACCCACGAACAAGTGGTATTGATCAGTAACAACACTGCACTAGCCAAGGACTCGAACCCATGCTGCTTTGATCTGCCTCATGGTGGGCGAAAACCACATTACACCTTAATCCACGGGACCACACCAGGATTGTGTGGTCCCGTGGATTAAGGCGTCATATATACGTATATCAATAACAGCACTGCACTAGCCAAGGACTCGAACCCATGTTGTACTGGCCCGCCTCATGGTGAGCGAGAACCACATGACGCTTGAACCCACAGGACCACCCAAACCTACATGACTGGCGCAGCCAGCAGAGCTAGCTGTTTTACCGCCATCCGAGGACACACGATGTTGTGGGAGCTTCTAAGCTAATTTCATTCTCCTCCCTGTTTGGTGTACTAGCCTCACGAGCAGAATATATATATTATTGTACCCACTAATGAGTGGTATTGATCAATAACAACAATGTGTTAGCCAAGGCTTCGAACCCATGTTGTACTGGCACGCCGTAAACGTGTTTTGTACTATTTTCCTTCATGTTCCTTTTATTAAACTTCATTGGCTTTATAAAGGTTCTGGAGAGACAAACGTAGCACCATTAAATGTCTCATTAGTTGCTCCTGTGTTCTTTTACCTTAAATATTTCAGCCACTGTTGGTTTCATCTGTGAGAGATTCATTTATTCCGTGACTTTGACTCGGTCTCAGATCATGAGTCTGTCTAGGTAAATTGTGTAATATTTTACTTTGCTACTGTTACTAGGATCTACCCATAAGATATATCCATTTTTCTACATGTAATATCCAATTGCTATAATTACAAATTAATTTCAATTGATTCAGGAGGTTCGCAGTGTGCGGTGGTCGTGTCTGGACAACAACAGTCGTAGTCTGGGTCAGCGGGTTTTAAGAAATACTATTTTCTACGTCTCTGCTGGACGCAATGCTATTGTTGTCATTATTTCTTCCGTCATCGCCTATTACCTCGACGGGGATGAACAGCCATTAACAATTTCAGGTGAGATGCTGTTATGATGATTTTAAACATTAAACTGCAGATATTATGTATGTATGTAGCATAGATGTTACAATCTTCCTTGATGATAAAATAATTAAAATATTCTTACCACAGAACAGGTTCAGCTTGAACCCATGGCAGGCGAGTTCTAAAACTTACAGCCAAGGTTTAGCTTCACCAGTTCTGTGATTTGTTGGCAACCGCGTTATTACGGTTTCGTGAGTCATATATGTATTCTTTTTGTAGTAGCAGAAAATGCCCCTAAAGTGATAAATATTTATTCCATTTAGGTTTGTTTGCTCTAGTGGTTCCTTATGTGTTTCGTAGCTCGGCTGCCAGCGCACTCAGCATACACACTGAGGTCTGTGGTTCATTCCGAGGTACGGGTGGAAAAATTAGGACGTGTTTCCTGGAAACATTTGCTGTCCTTGTTCACCTAGCAGTAAGATAGGTACCTGGGTGTTAACCGGCTGGTGTGGGTCGCATCCAAGAAAAAAATGACCTAATTTGCCCTAAATGCTTTGCATAAAAAGAGGCTTACTATACTAGTATGTCATTGATGCCAGCTAGGACTGTATAAGATGTACATGTACTCGTAGAAATAAAACTTTTTATTATTATTACAATGGTTGGGAAAGCATAGCAAGAAAGAAAAGTACAAAATTTGGACTTAGAGTACATCACTAGACTTGCCCTTTTCAATCCCACACATGTAAACTTATCAGGATAATACTACAATCTAGTCTTGCAGAATTTTGCCAGACACTGACATTAGCGTCAGTGGCCTTGTATGAACCTTGTCAGAAACTAACACCAGGATCACCGGCTTTGAAGAACCTTTGAAGAACTTTATCAGACACTATCATAATTATCACTGGCCTAGAAAAGCCTTGCCAGTCACTAACGTCAGATTCACTGACCGTGGAGAACCTTGCCTCTCGTTAACATCAGATCCACTGGCTAGTAAGAACCTTGCTAGACACTACAGTCAGATCCACTGGCTGTGGAGAACGTTGTCAGACACTAACGTCAGGATACCTTGCCTTGGTGAACCTAGTTAAATACTGACTTCAGAATCATGAGGTTACGTGGAGCAAGGTTGGTGGAGCACTTGCCATGAACCACATACTGCACTATATCCTGTTAGTGAAAGATGTCCTTGACTCGCGAAATCGTAATAACAAGATTGGAAACGAACCATTGTACAGGTATGGGTTCTAATTCCACCTGTTACGTGATTTAAAGATGTTCTTTTTGCATGATGTTTACGTCAGTTACAGAAAACTGTGTGAAGACACAGACTGCAAAATATCTCCAAAACACATAGAATCCCAAGGTAATCAGATCGAAGAAAAAATGTAATTCACCTTATCCCCAGTAACCTTAAACCAGCACTTATATTTACTTTCCCAAACATCCCTATGAACCCAAACTTACTTCAGATGTAGGCAGCGGCTCCCATGAATGTTCAGAGAGTCTCACGAGACGTCTGTATTTTGCTTGATACCATCTACGGCTACTCACAATCTTCCCCTTTAGAGCTGGCTTTTTGCTTGATACCGTCAGCGGTTACTCACCATCTTCCCCTTTAGAGGTGACTTTCTACACCAGTATAAACCCTCATGTAATATTACGAGGAACCGATAATTTCTACCACAACCTCAAACATTTATATAGACTTCCTTACTCAGTTTGATGGCGTACATACGCTCGTGTTGCTCCTCTGCAGTGATTGATGTTACTGGTTTGATTTCCTTTGGTATATATAGTTGAAAATTTTTCTCCACAATGTTTGAAGTAATTTACTTGTGAATTTTACTTGTTATGTAGTGGTTTAAGTAACTTACACTTGAGTAATAAGTTTAACAGTAGAGACTCGCCTTACTAAATTTCTTTGCTTTGCCAAAGTTTATGATTTGTATTATAGAATAAAAATCCCATATTATGATACGGGTGATTAATATTATTAGGACTTAGCAGTAATTCAATTTTCAGAAGGCTAGTAATGTTTCTGCCCTTCATAATCATGCAGACTATTTCTGCAAATCAAATCAAGCTGAACTCTGAGTTTTTCAATACTGGACCCTGAAGAGAGGAATACCTCCGCTCCCTCTTTAGTGTTCCATCGCCTGTGTAGGTTCAGGTATAATAAAAGGTCTTCAGGGCACCGTCCAGCAGACCCCAACATTAACCTTAGCAGTGTGAAACCTAAATTACTTCCACGCTGGAGTGTCAGTACTTTATAGTGGTGGTGTTTATATGGGGTGTTGAGTCACTTGTTTTAGGGTGTTGACACACTTCTTTTAGGGTGATAAGACACTTGTTTTAGGGTGATAAGACACTGGTTTTAGGGTGATAAGACACTGGTTTTAGGGTGATAAGACACTGGTTTTAGGGTGATAAGACACTGGTTTTAGGGTGATAAGACACTGGTTTTAGGGTGATAAGACACTGGTTTTAGGGTGTTGAGACACTGGTTTTAGGGTGTTGAGACACTTGTTTTAGGGTGATAAGACACTTGTTTTAGGGTGATAAGACACTTGTTTTAGGGTGATAAGACACTTGTTTTAGGGTGATAAGACACTTGTTTTAGGGTTGAGATTCACGAAATCGTAATGACACGATTGCAAACAAACCATACCACGGGCGGGAATAGAACCCGCGATCAGAGATTCTCAAAACTCCAGAAGGCCGCGTTAGCCACTAGACCAGCTAGCCACAATAAGATTCGTTATTGTGGCTACCTGGTCCAGTGGCTAACGCGATGTTCTGGAGTTTTGAGAGACTCTGATCGCGGGTTCTATCCCCGCCCGTGGTATGGGGTGTTGAAACACTTATTACAAGTAACCTCAGGGGCACTGTTTGGTACCAAACTGCTGGAAGGTAACGGCTGGAAAGGGATGGATGGAAAGGGGGCAGCTGAAAGGGGACGGCTGGAAGGGGATGGCTGGAAGTGGATGGCTGGAAGGGGATGGCTGGAAGTGGATGGCTGGAAGGGAAAGGCTGGAGAGGATGGCTGGAAGGGGATAGCTGGAAGTGGACGGCTGGAAAGGGCTGGCTGGAAGGGGATGGCTGTAAAAGAACGGCTGGAAGGGGCTCGCTGGAAGGGAAAGGCAGGAGAGGATGGCTGGAAGGGCTGCCTGGAAGGGGACGGATGGAAGGGAACCGGTGGGATGGGACGGCTGGAAAGGAACGGCTGAGGGAAAAGGAGATTCGATTTTCATATTTACCCTAAGATTTGATTGTTAACTCTGGAAAAATTATAAAAAAAATATATCTTTTGACATTTGAGGTTACGTGGAGCCTGGAATCCCAGCTGCTTCTCTTCCACCATTCTCCACTGAGATCAATAACCAGACCATAACATTTACGGAGATCATGAGCGACATTGGCATTGGTTTAGTAATGGTGCCATTCATTGCCATTCTTGACCTTACTGCCATTGTCAGTGCCTTTGCTAAAGGAAGAACCTTTGATGCTACACAGGAGATCATCGCTTTAGGCCTCGCCAATGTAATTGGATCCTTTTTTGGGTAAGTTTTTAAATTACATTTACCTTTAAGGAGGGCTGAGAGCCATTATACTGATGAAGGTCTCTTGATCCAGGGAATTAGAGCTACCTTACCCTTAGATCAAATTTGATTACTGCCAGAAGCTGTGTCACCTTTTGTCCTTCAATATAACAATAATTAGGTGTTTGACGTAAAAGGTTAAAGGAAAACTTAAGAGCTATTTAGGAAGTTGTAGATAGTGTGTTGTGTGTTTTAATGATTATACTGACCAAGTTGTGTATGTGGGGGTCGAGCTCAGGTTCTTGGCTCCACCTGTTAGCTTTCAATCATAGTTACACTGAATCGTAACCCACTGGGGTCTTGTATCAGTCTTGGATTCCATGAATAGAATTTATATTTATTACCTCCTCTTTACCTTCACTTGTTAACTATCTTAGTACTGAAGAATAGTAAACAAGTACAGGATATAGTCTATTCTTATGGCTAAAGTAGCTATAATGATAGACAAGTAACCTCTAACTCAGAGGGAAAGATCTCCACCTAGAGTATCTGGGACTGACATAACCTAATGTTGTGCTAGTGACCCCATGTTAGCTTGTCAGGTTCTGACATCAACACTTACTTTAGACTTAAACTATATAGGGAAGACGATATTTCTTGAGCATGAGACATCTAATATAAACATTGAGATGGGAAATGGAAATGTTGCAAAAAAATATGTATCACCTACTAACATTTAAATGTCATTCCAGCAAAGTAAAAAGAGAACAAATGAGAGAGTCGGTGAGATGTTATCAACAAATTTTGCTGAAAATAAGAAAAAGTTTTGGAGATTAATAAGTTGAGAAAGCCTAGAGAACGAATGGATTTCATAGTTAAAAATAGGAAAGGAGAGTTATTAAATGGAGAGTTAGAGGTATTGGGAAGATGTAAGGAATATTTTGAGGAATTGTTAACTGTTGATGAAGATAGGGAAGCTGTGATTGCGTGTCTAGGGAAAGGAGGAATAACATCTTGTAGGAGTGACGAAGAACCAGTTGTGAGTGTGGGGGAAGTGCATGAGGCAGTGGACAGAATGAAAGGAGTAAAACAGCTGGGATTGATGGGATAAAGACAGAAATGTTAAAAGCAGGTGGAGATATAGTTTTGGAGTGGTTGGTGTTTTTATTTAATAAATGTATGGAAGAGGGTAAGGTACCTAGGGATTGGCAGAGAGCATGCATAGTTCCTGTACAAAGGTAAAGGGGACAAAAGAGAGTGCAAAAATTATAAGGGGATAAGTCTGTCGAGTATACCTGGTAAAGTGTATGGTAGAGTTATTATTGAAAGAATTAAGAGTAAGACGGAGACTAAGATAACAGATGAACAAGGAGGCTTTAGGAAAGGTAGGGGGTGTGTGGACCAGGTGTTTACAGTGAAACATATAGGTGAACAGTATTTAGATAAGGGAATAGAGGTTTTGTGGAATTTATGGATTGGGAGAGGCAAATGATAAGGTGGATAGGGGGGCAATGTGGCAGATGCTGCAAATTGAGGCTCAGGTTAGAGTATGTAGGAGAGAGGGGGGATTATTTCCCAGTAAAAATAGGCCTTAGACAGGGATGTGTGATGTCACCATTGTTGTTCAATATATTTAAAGATGGAGTTGTTAGAGAAGTGAATGCTCAGGCATTGGCAAGAGGTGTGGGGTTAAAAGAAAAAGAATCTAACACAAAGTGGGAGTTGTCACAGTTGCTCTTTGCTGATGACACTGTGCTTTTGGGAGATTCTGAGGAGAAGTTGCAGAGGTTGGTGGATGAGTTTGGTAGGGTATGTAAAAGAAAGAAATTGAAAGGGAATATAGGAAAGAGTAAGGTGATGAGGATAAAAAAAATTCGGTAACGAAATATTGGTTATTAGATTGTAGGGAGAGAGTATGGAGGAGGTGAATGTATTCAGATATTTGGGAGTGGACGTGTCAGCAGATGGGTCTATGAAAGATGAGGTGAATCATAGAATTGACGAGAGAAAAAAAGTGAGTGGAGCACTGAGGAGTCCATGGAGACAAATAACTTTATCTATGACAGCAATGAGGGAATGTATAAGAGTATAGTTATACCAACACTCTTATATGGTTGTGAAGCATGGGTGGTTTAAGTTGCAACAAGGAGAAGGCTGAAGGCAGTGGAGATGTCATGTCTGAGGGCAATGTGTGGTGTGAATATAATGCAGAGAATTCGTAGTTTGGAGGTGAGGAGGAAGGGCGGAATTGCCAAAACTATTATCCAGAGGGCTGAGGGGGGGGGGGTTATTGAGGTGGTTCGGACATGTAGAGAGGCTGGAACGAGATAGAATGACTTCGAAAGTGTATAAATCTGTAGTGGTGGGAAGGGGGGGTAGGGGTAGGCCTAGGAAAGGTTTTTGGGAGGGGGTAAAGGAGGTTTTGTGTGTGAGGGGCTTGGACTTCCAGCAAATATGCGTGAGCATGTTAGGAGTAAATGGAGATAAATGGTTTGTAATACTTGACGTGCTGTTGGAGTGTGAGCAAAGTAACATTTATGAAGGAATTCAGGGAAACCGGCAGGCCGGACTTGAGTCCTGGAGATGGGAAGTACAGTGCCTGCACTCTGAAGGAGGGGTGTTAATGCTGAAGTTTAAAAACTGTAGTGTAAAGCACCCTTCTGGCAAGACAGTGATGGAGTGAATGATGGTGAAAGTTTTTCTTTTTCGGGCCACCCTGCCTTGGTGGTAATCGGCCTGTGTGATAAAAATAATATATATATATATATATATATATATATATATATATATATATATATATATATATATATATATATATATATAATGGATATGGATATAATGAGATAAACCAACAGATCGATGCCAACAACAGGAGCTTTCTCACGTTCAGCTATAAACATGACAAGTGGAGTACGGACTCCTGCTGGAGGTCTGGTCACAGGAGTCATGGTCCTCCTCTCCCTCGCCTTCTTAACACCTTATTTCACGTAAGTTTATATTATAGATGTACAGTTATATTGTTGTTCTTAAGATATATCAAAGATGTTCATTTTTATCCTGTGGTCAACAATTAATCTTATAAGAAAGTGTCTCTGGACTCCTTAAGTAACGTACAGATGAAGACAGAAGTTCCCTGACACTGTCTGTCTGCTGGACAGAAGTGATATCTTGATAGATAAGTAGACTATTTTTATTAATGAATTAACACAGCTTATAACGACCATGATGACTGGCTGACAGACTAATTACCGGTACTTTCTGTATATCTAAGTAAAAGCAGATTATGAATGTAAACATAAATCGATTACCATTTAGATATTACATCGAAATTAAAAAAAATCATCAAAATCATTTTAAAAGGCGACCGAATATATTGTAAGGTTGTTGATACATCCATAGTGGTCCTACAACGCCAATATTTCTTCTACAACACCAATATTTCTTTGATGTACAGGTTGGGCCGTATAATTCATTCTGAGGAGGATAGCAATGAACTTCGGGAGGATTTGGACAAATTAATGTCCTGGTCTACTAAATGGCAGATGAAGTTCAATGTGGATAAGTGTAAGGTACCAGTCCTTGGTAATGAAAATAACCCTCGAAGCTATAATCTAGGTGAAGTAGAGCTTGGTCATACAGAATGTGAAAAAGACTTGGGAGTCATGGTAAGCAGAAACCTAAAGCCAAGACAGCAGTGCCTCAGTGTGCGCAACAAGGCTAACAGATTACTTGGATTTATCTCAAGAAGTATAAGTAACAGAAGTCCAAAAGTTATTTTACAGCTCTATACATCACTAGTGAGGCCTCATTTAGATTATGCTGCTCAGTTTTGGTCCCCTTACTACAGGATGGACATAGACTCATTAGAGAACATACAGAGAAGAATGACTAAAATGATTTACTGTGTAAGGAACCTCCCGTATGAAGATAGACTTAAAGCCTTAAATCTCCACTCTCTGGAGATATCATTGAAGTGTATAAATGGATGACGGGAGATATTAATAAAGTACTGAGGGTGTCGAACCAGGTAAGAACCAGAAATAATGGATTTAAGTTGGATAAATTTAGATTTAGAAAGGACATAGGTAAGTATTGGTTTTCTAACAGAGTTGTAGATGCGTGGAACAGTCTTCCCAGTGGGGTGGTAGAGGTTAGGACCTTGGGTAGCTCTAAGTAGAGACTGGACAAATATACGAGTGGGAGGGGCTGGGTTTGATTGGTGTCAGTGGGTACGGGAGTTATTTCTTGGGTAGCTTTAGGTAGAGGTCGTTTTGATAAGGACTTGCCTCGCATGAGCCAGTAGGCCTTCTGCAGTGTTCCTCCATTCTTATGTTCTTATGTAACACTCTCTGTATAAATATACTGGTATTTTGATTGTATCATTTAAAATAATAACTTCTATATTAGCCAAAGTGCGCAGTAGGGTCTCGTATCCCACCATGACGTATCCCACCATGACGTATCCCACCATGACGTATCCCACCGTGACGTATCCCACTGTGACGTATCCCACCGTGATGTATCTGTCGTGGGGTTCGAAAGGAGATAACGAGGGTTGAAGATATACACACTTGTTGGATGGTAACAATATGTTGCAGAATGTGAGAAAGGGGGAGCCCAACCTGCCGTGTGTTACCTGGTAGACCTATGCGTGGACTGAGAGCGAGGTAGCGCGTCCCACGCACTCGTGCCGCATCCCTACGTCATATATCTCGTCATGTGGTCATTCTACTTGGAAACAGTCTTAATATACTAACTTTTTGTATGCTTAACATACTTTGCAGTTTACAATGCGTACCACACCTCCGTGGTCACCCTGGTACACAACTTCTGACTGAAAGTACACTAATCTCACAACTCCCCATACCTCGACCCATTATACCTCTCACTAATGCAATAAGATTTCTTACATTTTTAACCATTCCACAGCAAACCCAATCTGCTCTCGACTTCTACTTATTTTCATTGTCCACATCCTTTCCCCCCGGGCCACCCACTACCAGTAAACACACCATACTTTCTTATGAAAACAACATAAAATCTTCAAATTACCCCATCAACGCGTTCGAAGCCCGCATTACCCAGCACCGGCCACACTAGCCCATCTAACCTCCAGTAGTTGTTTATATCTTACCCTAACTGCCTCCTCCTCTAGTTTGTAAACCTTCACCTCTCTTACTTGCTGCTTCCATTTTCCTTTTACTCTCACTGTAGCTACAACTAAAAAGTGATCTGATATATCTGTGGCCCCTCTATAAACATGTACATCCTGAAGTCTACCCAACATTTTTTTTATCTACCAAGTACGTAGTACTTCAAACTACTGTCATTAAGCCCTACATATCTTGTATACTTATTTTAAGAAAAGGATAAATATGTATTAACTATAACTAAATCCTTTCTATACAAAATTCAATTAAAGGGCTCCCATTATCATTTACACCTGGCACCCCAAACTTACCTATCACACCCTCTCTAAATGTTTCTCCTAGTTTAGCATTTAGGTCCCCTACTACAATTACTCTCACTTGGTTCAATAGTTCCTACACACTCGCTTAACGTCTCCCAGAATCTCTCTCTCCTCTACACTCTTCTCTTCTCCTGGTGCATACAAATTATGACCCACTTTTTGCATAATCCTAGAATTTACACATTTATATTCCCTCTTCTCCTTCCATAACTGTTCCTTCAACATTATTGCTACCCCTTCCTTAGCTCTAACTCTCTTAGATACTCCTGACTTAATCCCATTTATTTCTCCTCACTGAAACTCCCCTACCCCTTTCAGCTTTGTTTCGCTTCGAGCCAGGACATCCAACTTCTTTTCACTTCATAACATTAAGAATCATCTCTATCATCTGAACTACATCCACGCACATTCATGCATCCCAGTTTTATAAAGTTCTTCTTCTCTTTATAGTATTTTCTACAGGAGGAGTTACTAGCTCATCTCCCGGCATTTTAATCGCCTCATATGACTCGCATGGCTTACTAGGAAAGATTCTTTTCCACTTCCCCATGGACAATAGAGAAATAAAGAAGAACAAGAACTATTATATCGGGATATATGCAATGTTGCAAGAGAAGCAACTGAAAAAGTGAGGGGATGTTTTCTCAGAGTAGGTTAGCGAGGGATGATACCAGCCCCAGCTTCTCTCAGACTTTGAGAGGCACCGACCCATCCACCTTCCCCGCCCCACCCAATATGGGGTAGGGTAGACGAGGGCCTCCAAGTTTATAGAAAACTGGAAACAGAAAAGCAGATGTCTTGTTGTTCCTAATTGTTTAGGTCACAGAGTATGTAAGCAACTCAGAGATGTAATACTTTTTAATAATAAATATTTTACAAAACACTTGATTGTGCATTTGTGAGACTTGATTGTGCATTCTCTTGAATCTAATTACACAAGTTACACAATTATATGTCTATAAAACTGCAATCTCCACGAAGTTTGTAAACAAATATTAATCAAAACCAGGAAAATAATCTCACGCTTCAATACATCCAGTAATATATAAACCACTTCATATATATGAAAACGTAAATTTGCTTGTTATAAGATACTTATTACATACTGGCAAATAATGTTATCAACCAGTCACCATCGGAGTTACTAGCTGGGTGAATTTATTCAAGAAAGCTAACTTTATTCCTCTGTTTACATACGACTTGTTTAAGTTCACTGAAGAGTTTCACACATTTTCCCTGCTTTGACCTGAGACCTGCCCTAGTTACCTCTTAGTTCATTGTCACTCAGGTCCCCAGTGTGTCCTGCTTACCTTGGCCTAGTGTGTTTCTGTTCACCTTATTTCTAAATTATCTCCATGTGTGTCACAAGGACTTGGAATTTTGATGGCCTGGCCATGTTTGTGTCTCGGGAAATGAATGGGTATAAAGGAGTGGTTGGGGGTATAGGGGTCCTACAGTGGCACGTAGGATAATGATCCTTCTCCTTCAACAGCAGCTGTCACTCTGAGATGATCTCAGTCTACTTTGGATCAGAAACCCATCTCCCACAAAGGTTCCTGTTTGCAGGTGTTTGTGGGTACAGGAGCTTATACTGTGAAATATTTTTACTGTTCGCCCCCAGCTAAGGCCGCCTTTTCATTTGTCTTCGATTTTATAATTTCTGTGATGCCTGTGTAGGGATCTCAATGCAGTTTAATGTTAATTTTAACGGATAGCTATTTTCACTGGTGAATAGTATTGATTTTTGTGTGTTTTATTCAGGCAAATAATTTTTTTAAGGATCTATATTTTTCTTATTTGTGTTGTATTTATTTTGTCAAAAACGCTGAAATATTTACGCGATAAAGCGCTCCTAAGGTTTCAGACATACCTACCTAAGTACCATAATTCTTTCTCTTCAGTTATATTCCCAAATCCACACTGGCAGCAGTAATCATCAGCGCTGTGTTTCATCTCATTGACTACGAGATCTTGGCTCCTCTCTGGAGGAGTAAGAAGACCGACCTGATACCTCTTATAGCCACCTTCTTGGCCTGCCTCTTGTGGGGACTCGAGTGGGGAATCTTGATTGGTATCGGTGTTAATCTCTCAATGCTTCTGTATTCCATTGCTTCACCCACCGTTAACGTGGCTGTTGTTCCATCAAAGGTAACTTTTGTTCTTTTGACTATTTATTGTCCAGGATTTTGGAAGATAATTCACTAGATGTTAGAGTAATCTGCCAGAAAGTAGCTATTTAATGTAGATTTATTTTGTGGTGGAGGAAAACGAGTTACCATAATTATATTGTCTCAAAAGTCGAATTTTATAGTTTTTTTTTTTCTTTTCTGTAATTGTTTTAAAAGATGCATTGGTTATATTAAAATTTGGATCATTTTGGTTAAAATGCTAATAGTTCAACCAGAAAAAAAACGAAACATCAAACGACTGTAATGTATTTTACTTCCTTATAAAAACAACACAGAATCCATATGCTTCTGAGTTGTTTATTTAATGGTATTGTGCAGGTGTGTTTTCTGGGTATTTTTAATGGCTTATTACTTGTGCACAAATTATTCAGTAGCTTAACAGATTTATAAATCTGTAATGACTAAAAAATCACTGTATATTAATCTGCAATTATACAGCCATAATACCTAAATTAAGTGTTTGTTCTTTAGTCTCATATTCAACAGTCATTAAATATTTTTCCTTTCACTTCTACTTAATCATCTTTACGTCAAAAGCATCATAGAGGATATGGTCTGATTATTGTACTCTTCATGGCTTCTGGTGTTCCAGCATCTCTCACATCTCACTCATCTTTCTCTCTCTCAGAATGATAGTAGAGGATATGTTCTGGTTATTGTACTCTTCATGGCTTCTGGTGTTCCATCTTCTCTCACATCTCACTCATCTTTCTCTCTCAGAATGATGATAGAGGATATGTTCTGGTTACTCCTTGCTACGGTCTCAGTTACCCCAGCACTTCACACATCCGTGGTGCCGTCAGGAAGGCTGGGCTCCGGCAGGCTGCTGGTTCTCTTCCTGTTGTTATTGACTGTTCCTGCATTGATACCACTGACTATACATCAGCTAAGGTATGACTAACATCTTGAGTCTCATTAAAAATTAAATATATCACATATATTAATTATGTCATACTTTCAGTTGTATGTAATTATATTTATTAGAAATTATACAGGCCACTGTGAAATTACAGGAGGTTACATTACTCTGAATAATATTGTTGAAATTATCAGTGGTTGAACATGTTACATATTCCAGTACTTGAGAATAAAATTTCATTCATCCTGATAAGCCACTGGAAAGTCATCTATTGTCTTCGTCTGAACATCATTTGCAAGAAATGTTAATGATGCCTTCCTGATACTGTGAATTTCTGATAAACTTAATATGCACTTTTTTTTACATTGACAAAGGACAACAAAGGCAAAGTATTTTTGTAACATTTTTGTACTGGCATTTTGATAATTAGGGCATAAAGGGAATGATAGAGGAGTTCCATCAGCGTGGGCAGAGTCTTGTGTTCTTGGGCATGAAGCCGAGCATCATCCAGATCGTTCAAGCTCTTCACAAAGACATCAGGATTTGCTCCAGCTTTGATGTTTTGTCTGAGGTCCTGGCAGGTATGTGATGATGTTTTGTCTGAGGCTCTGGCAGGTATGTGATGATGTTTTGTCTGAGGCTCTGGCAGGTATGTGATGATGTTTTGTCTGGGGTCCTGGCAGGTATGTGATGATGTTTTGTCTGAGGTCCTGGCAGGTATATGATGATGTTTTGTCTGAGGCTCTGGCAGGTATGTGATGATGTTTTGTTCTGAGGCCCCTGGCAGGTATGTGATGATGTTTTGTCTGAGGCTCTGGCAGGTATGTGATGTTTTGTCTGAGGTTCTGGCAGGTATGTGATGATGTTTTGTCTGAGGCTCTGGCAGGTATGTGATGATGTTTTGTCTGAGGCTCTGGCAGGTATGTGATGATGTTTTGTCTGAGGCTCTGGCAGGTATGTGATCAGTGAAATTGCCCCATTATAATTAAAAAATAGCTATTTACATATCCCAAATAGTAAATAGGTAGTCTCTCCAGCATTAACATAGACTATGATAAAACGCTCAAAGCATGCGAGAGAATGCGATAGAAGTTACCAATAACAAAAAGCTTTTACCTAAAGATGATCATGGAATGTTGAGAACCTCCAGTGAGACAATGGCCAATATTAAGTTTCCCTTAGATACACGAATGGTAAAACACCAAGAAAGTCGTTCATAATACAAGGATTTAGCAGCGGTGGTGTTCGCATCTTAATGCTTGGAAAAAGAATCGTTATATGAGCACTACACAATACCAACACGTAGATAAGTAAGACACATGTGTAACACCTGGGTACATTTTATCGTCAAAAACATTACAGATCCACTAATGTTACACATGAGTCTTACTCAGGATAAAAGAATGAAGACAACGATATTCTTATTTTGGGTTGTTAACCCGTGATAGTGACGTAGACACTATATTAAACAGTTTCTTCCAGGACTGTACTATATCATGGATATAAAAACACAGATACGCTGATGTATAAGTTCAGTGGAGGTCAAATGAGAGGTAAGACTCGAGGTCAGGGGTGTGAGGGAGAGGTGAAACAATGATCACAGTGTGTGTGCCAACATGATGGACGTGGGTAGCAGGTGGGGTCAGGTTTGCAGTAATCATCAACGCTATAAATGAAGTGTCCTTCCAGTACCTGTCAGTTCAGGTCATTGTTCAACGCTAGATAACCCAAGTAATGCAGCTTATTTTCGTTGTGGTCATTTCACTGATGCTGTAGGATGCTAGCCACAACAGCCTGATTAATTCTAGCTACTTATTGATTGCTAGGTGAACAGGTACAGCAGGTGTAAGTTTCCCTTACATCTGGCTTCACCTGGGAATCGAACCTGGGTTCATTTTGTTGACATGGCCGCTGCTCACAACAATTATAAAAATATAAGTTTGATGGCGGGCAAAAACACCAAAAATGTTCATTTTGGCTAATACCAGGTAGAATACTAAAACAAATTCTTCACTAGTGATAGAACAATGGAATTACCAGATTCAAAAATACGAAGTTAGTTACTAGCAGTGAAAATTAAAAAAAAAATGAATTATACATTGAAAATTAATGCACGAGCTTAGCTATTCTTTTAGCTTCTGGTAGATTATTACATGTAAATAAATACAAACATACATGAACTAGGAAGCAGCATCAAGTATCTTTACTAATATTAACATACACTACTAGTTTAAGACAACACTCCACGAAGCATTCTTTGTTTTCAGTACGTGGCAGATACGGCTCTCTTGGATATTTGTACACATGTTCCTATTATAAGTAATACACTAAACACTGTTGAGGATGAATAAATTTCTTTTGTAAGGTTAATACGTTATTCTTTATTATCAAGTACTAAAATCTATTTTAATTCAGTGTACAGAGCTCAATTTTGCATTCAAATTAGTGCGTCTGCATTAATACTTCTTAAAAAAATACCTGTGACTTACTCTTCTCTATTGTTTGGCAACCATTATAATTTGTTAATAAGTGATGAACACTTGTCTCAGATGGTGAGGCCGAGACGAAGATGGAAACTGTGGAAAGTACCAGCTGCCGCCCAGGAGGGAATACACTCCTTCCTGCTATGACATCCAAGCCTTCACCTGACACCAGTGATGCCGCAGATCCGCTGCTAACTCCTGCAACTTTCCACGATCATAAGTAGCACAACTTTACTACTGTTTTGGTCGGAAATAATAATAAGTCTTCAAGAAACAGATCAACTAATCTGTCTTAAGTCTCTTAATGCTAGTAGTCAATGGACATGTATCTTCCTTGTATATTTAGGAGCATGTGTTGAGCTCCCAAGTCCAGCTCATGTGTGGAGATACCAAGTCCAGCTTATGTGTTGAGGTCCCAAGTCCAGCTCATGTGTGGAGGTCACAAGTCCAGCTCATGTGTGGAGGTCACAAGTCCAGCTCATGTGTGGAGATACCAAGTCCAGCTTATGTGTTGAGGTCCCAAGTCCAGCTCATGTGTGGAGGTCACAAGTCCAGCTCATGTGTTGAGGTCCCAAGTCCAGCTCATGTGTTGAGGTCCCAAGTCCAGCTCATGTGTGGAGGTACCAAGTCCAGCTGAAAGAGGGACATTCAGTTGCAAGACTTCATCCCAAGAAGGTGATCCTCGCTCAGAGTACTTATAACTAGGTACGAGAGAAATAAAAACATTTTGATAACGTCATGCCACAATCTGGAAAGTTCACTGCAGTTCTTATTCATTCAAGATATATTCCAAAACTGATCAATATATCATCAGATGGGACGTGTTTCAGCAGCATCGTAGTCAGTCATACTGAAGATGAAAACCGTTTTATCATAGACTCAAGTAAAGTATAAACAATAAGTCCTGTGTCTTCATAATAGAATATTTTGTGTTCTCAAAATGTTAGGGTAAAGCAGAATATATTTTGTGATGTAATGGTAAAGACTGTCTGGTACATACTGTACTTGCAACAGAGTTGAAGGCATCCTGGCACTCCACTCATGAGCAGGTAGACCAGCAGATCTGTGACGTAAAAGTCACTGAGGGTTATATGTCAACAATCTACTTGCATGACAACATCGTCATGCAAGCAGATAAGCTTAATTAAAGAATTCACTTCGAGTAGACTGTGGAACTCTCCAGAAGTCTAATACGAGGTATTTTATACAATGTAAGAGCGACTCTATGCCATGCAAATGCAATACAAAAGAGAAAGGTTGATGGATCGATCAACTTCTATTCACGTATCCTAGGAACTCTAGAGAGAAATATATTCAAAAGAAGACAGAGCTCATTAGAGATGAGTAATAATGTATTGTACAGGCGGCTACACTACACTAGTGGGTCCAGACTTCTCAGCAGACATGAAAAATAACGTAGATTACCATCATATGACACAAAACTCTAGAGAATATTTTGATCATTCAGTTAATGTGAAAACGTTAAGCAATAACACTATAAATACAATTAAAATAAAAAAAATAAAAATGTGAGGGGGGGGGCGTATTGAACAAAATTCAAAAACATTTGTATTTGAGGATCCCCAAAAGGGGACCTAAATTGACTGTCATATATATATCTCTTGGTTACTTTTATTTCTTCTTCCCCAATCTTCTCGGTGTTATAAAGCTCATAACTATAGAATTCTTCACCAAATCGGTTTTTAAAATATTTTCAACGGCTGCGTACGATATCTAGAAATAGAATCTAAAAGCATTAGTCATGTGGGGCCCAATGACCAGAAATGTTGAAGTCATTATGAACATCCTGGAATGACTCCAGTAACTTCCAAAACCCTCAGTGGCGTAACGTTCAAAAAACGTCTCCAAATTCGACGACGGTGGAGTACAAATTCAGATGTGTAGGAGTAGCGATAAGATTTCGTTCGGATTTTTAACCCTGGAGGGTTAGTCCAGCCAGGATGATCTAAGTCAGTGCGTCATCGACGACTGTGTCTTATTTCCATTGTGGTCCTCAATCTTGTCCCCCAGGATGCGACCCACACCAGTTGACTAACACCCAGGTACCTATTTGCTGCTAGGTGAACAGGACAACAGGTGCAAGTAAACACGTCGAAATGCTTCTTCCCCGCCGGGAATCGAACCCGGGTCCTCCCTGTGTGAAGCGAGAGCTTTGCCAGCCAGGTCACGGGGGTTCCCCAAGATTTATGCCAACAGCATTTGGTATTGCCAGGCGGTCACCCAACCAAGTATTAACCAAACCCAACGTGTCATAAGAGGCGACTTAAATGCCGGAAGTCAGAGATTACTAACCCTTTCTCTTGTATAAATCGCTAAATGTATAAAGAAAAGTTTTTTTTTCTCGGGTCACCTTGCCACGGTGGGAGATGGCCCAAAAAATGTATTCTAAGATGCCCATAAGTTTAGTCAGAGTAGATACATCTTGAAATTTGACTGAAATTGTTAAAGACCTGGAATCACTGGAAACAAGTTAATTACTGGGAAATGTCTTTTCTGATTGGCTTCGAATTCTAATTTTTGGTAGAGTTTATTAGAATAAAGTTTGGCACTGAGCTGTGTAAATTTCACTTTGCCAATTTTATTTGTCGAGATAAAATGGCCACCCCAGTCTCAGTGTGGGGTTGACAGAACACTATATAATGCCAGTCTCAGTGTGGGGTTGACAGAACACTATATAATGCCAGTCTCAGTGTGGGGTTGACAGAACACTATATAATGCCAAACTTACTATAGTCCCACAAACTGAAATCAGGTTGAAGAATAAAACTAAAAGGAAAGAAGAAAAGGCACTTGAGGGAAAAAGAGAAGGGTTCAGTTCTCTCAGTTATTAATATAATCTGCCACCTATTGCTTTTTGAGTAGTAATATATTACAGAGGGAATAAAGTTCCAGCAGAAGGAAGATACAAAGTGAACTAGAGCAGGAAAACCCAATGGCAGTCATACACGACATGTAAGATATACCAGGCAAAATAGAATAACTTAATTGTAGATTCTGGTTCTCGAGATAACATCTCGTGTGAACGAGCAGTGGGTATCCTAGCAGTTGTTGATTCACAAGAAAATAACTTGACTCAAAAGAGGAGAAGCAAAGACTTTGACAATTCATTTTAATGACAACATATTATAAACTTTACACGAGAAGTGCAAAGTCAGTACTGACTCATAACCCAGGTTAAGAATCGCCACATTTTCGTTTTTCTAAATTCTTCTTGTCAGGTACCACGCACTCTCCCAAAATCACAGGCCATACACATGGTTTTAAAGGGTTTTAGTTCTCAATTATACATGAAATGTAAAGCTAATAGATTCCTGGTTGCTCGAGTACATGGTCTTTTGAGCCATACTGTTGTTATTACAGGAAATTTTGATTGGCTGAGCAACAATGTGGTGCCTAACTTGAGTCACAACGTTTAATATTTTGTTAGCCAAAGCCGTTTTTTCCCACCTTCTGGTTACGTGCAGTCTCTTATTGATCAGCACCAAGTTAAAATTCGCCAGCTTTTATTTGGTTTCTCTTGGTCTACCGGTTGTCCCGTTTATCTCTCCCAATTCCCCAGCACCGCCCCCATGTTTAAAAGATTGATATTGCAATACCGTTTTAATAAGTTAATGTACATTCTTGAATAGTAATATATAATTTAAGAACATTAATTGATTTAACATTGGAAATTAATTGCAGTAATCAAATTGATCTTGCCTCATTGAGAATGGACACATTATTTGCGTAATCCAACGAAAAGGTTTACACACAGCAGACTTTGGAGCGAGGTCTTCCACGGGAGTTTTGGGCTCGATTCCCTGCATGGTGCTAGTTAAAGAACATGGCGTGTTTCCTTACACGGTTTCTATGTACTGGTGAACAATAGGTCCTGGGTTAATACTGTGTGGTCCAACAGGACAAAATGACCTATTGCGCTTTCATAGTACTGTACTGTGTCAGCTATGGTCTGTATACCTTGTACATGTACGGGTAGTATATAAAGACATTAAATCTTGTGTAATAAGTCGTCGAGTTGATGCCAGAACCTATATGTACCCAGGACCTCCACCATTACCAAGAGAATGTGTATAATTATTAAGGCCATTTGATGTAATAGGCGTGAACTATAGCGGTCCAGTTACTTTAACTGGAATTCCGGATGGTGTTCCCTTGAAAGTGTGTGTGCGTGTTTATTCACTTGTACAGCTACCCATCAAGTTCGTTTAAAAGTAAAACAAAATTTGTCTGTCGAGCAGTTTATATAACTGCTTTGAAAATTTCCAGCTAGATCCTTGCCATGAGTAATAATTTCAGATAATGCTGCTAATTTTGTAGCAGGAGCACAATATTTGATGGAGTTAGAAGATAATTTTAATTTTCAATCTGTGTTAGCCCAGCAAGGATGTGTCTGGAAACTTATAACCTTAGAGTTCCTTGGCAAGGTGGTTTTTGTGGATGGTGTCTATGGAAGTTACATGGGGAAAGAATCAGTTTGGAGTAATTCTGTACTGTGTTAGTAGAGGCAGTTAGCTGAATAAATAATCGTCCCCTCATATACATTAGTGAAACTCCTGTTGTGGATACATTAACACTTTCTCATTTAATATGCGACAAATATTAGAGGCTGCACCTAACTACAGAGATACTCCAGAAGTGATGAAGATTATAATAATGCAGAATTATTGAGAGATAAATTTAGTGTGTTGAATAAGGTGATTAAACATTGTTCTAATTTCTGGTGCAAAGAATATCTTCTCACTCTATATGAACTTTTATGGTACATTAGAAGGTGTGAATAGACAGAGCATCAAACCCTGCAAATTTGTATTGACTGATACAGAGCGACATCGAATATTGTGGCCACTGGACACAGTGTTAACTTCATACCCAGACTCACAAGGTGTTGCTAGGAATGTTCGTGTGTTGTGTTGTGGTCACGAAAGTCTACATGCTATTATTTCCCTTACAATTAAATGGTGTACAACAAATGGGAAATAATATATGTAAGGAAACTGACATGATGTAACTGAAGACAGTGACGTCCAGTGGCGACTCGTGCGGGGGTGCTGCAGCTCTGCAGCACCCCCAGTCGCCACTGTGATGCCAAGAATACAGAGCCGATATAAGAAGTGCTGGACTCAGCTCAAGCTATCTTGGGATCGACACACAGAAGTAGTGATTTAAGTAGTCTACAAGCGGCATCCGCCTAGCCATAATGTGGAAATGTTTTTAATAATGTTTGTAAAAAAATGTATGTGGACAAGAGAGGTGAGGGAAGCGCAAGAAAGAAGGAAATAGGGAGTATGGTGATACGACTAACTGGCAAAATCGCAAATATTTCTCTAAATAATAGTGACCGATAGAAATATTATTGAATAATTCTAAAGTACAAGATGAGTGAAGAGCAAAATACATCTGGATGATAAATAACAAAATGAAAGAGTTCGTGTTGGTATGAAAGGAACACTTGACATGGTAACAGAATTTTATACCATGTTGACTCTAACCTTGTGCAATCTTTCAGTAATTAATGTTCACCTCCAGGTGTGTAATAATCCTCCTCATAACAGATATTGTTGACAGTGGTTGCCCAATTTTCAATGTAATGTTCCTGTGGGAGGAATCGGGACATATACCATTGTAATAGATTGGTAAGTGTTATATGTTCCTAACACGAAATAATGTGATTAATAATTATAACTTAATAGACACAACAAAATACTTAAATCAGTTAAGTTTATTTAAATTCTTCTTAATAGTCAGTTTTACTGGCATAAACTTTCTTCATAAATATACAGGAACCATATGTTCCTAATCCAGGGTTCCGGAGCTAGTGGGGGAGCTGGAGACAGTGGGCATCGAGGAGAGGCATTGTGACCTCAATGATCCTGAAGTCCC